ATCATCTTCATGATATATACTAGACTTCTTCTTTTCTTTCTTGTTGCATATCCTAAACACAAAAACTTATATGTATCTATACATTCAAAAAAAAAAAACAAGTTTATTATGTTGAGCTTATCTACTTGTAAACCAAAAAAATGGTCTCCAATTCGTTGGAAGTTTCTTGCGCTCCTCGGACCCAGAGATCTGATGGCAAGTATTGCCGGTACAGTGTGATGGGAGTGGTGTGATCATAATTAACACTGGCAACGGTGGGCCAGAGCTACACTAACCGTAGCATTAGTTTAGTGTAGCTAACATTTAGCGTAGTGGTAGCCCAAATCTGCAAATTTGCACTAACACTACACACACAGGGCGCCAAAGGGTGTGAGCTTTATCTCATTCATCTACACTAACACTATAACGCCCATGGGGCGCAAACAAGCGTCCGCTACGCTAAGCTACAGCCCTTTTTTAGCCGGTTTTGGCCTTTTTTGTGTCGCTGACAGCGCTGTAGTGTAGCGTAACACAGCGTAGTGGCAGTAGCAGCGCGCTAACATTACCCAAAAAAAGGTGTGTTGTTAGCGTAGCGTAGTGGGTGGTAGCGCACACTAAGTTCTAGCACTACACAAAAAAAAGGCTGCTGCCACGGCAGCTATGCTAACACTAAATGGCCCTTTAGCGTAGCGGCCCAGTGTTGAGACTTGATTTTTTTGTTTTTTGGGGGGCGGGCAGGATAGGAAATCTTTGGCCTGGTCTGTGCATCCATGGTACCTACATAAGGGCAACATATTCATGGCCTTGATTTTTTTGTTTTGTTTTGTTTTGGAATACATGGGGGATTGCAGAATATATGTGATGTTACAGCCAAATAGAGAAAGCTTGCAGTCTCGGACATCAAAAAAAAGAAAAAGAAAAACATTGTCTGGAGCTGGATTGTTTGGAAGACTACACCACGGGGCATGATAATGGCAAGCCACCCCCCCCCCTCGCACGCCATCCGCAGATTGGCGTGCACACCCGCACGCCATTACAGAATGGCATGCAGGCAGGAATACCACTTGTCTGCCTGCACACCAGATATATGCAGTCCTAAACACATATTGATATGCGTTTAGGACCTGGGCTGTCCCATAGGACCCAGGCATGGGTCCTATGGGACAGCCCCATGATTTTTTTTTTTTAAAAAAAAGAAGAAAAAAAACAAGCCCCCTTGGCCTAGAGAGGCCCGGGTCACACCGCCAGGAGGAACCTCTCCCGGGAAGCGTCTACATGCCAGCTTGTCAGGAGGGGTTCCTCCCTGCAAGCTGGTTTTTATCCCAGCTTGTTGGGAGGGGTTCCTCCTGGCAAGCTGGTTTTTATACCAGCTTGTTGGAAGGGACTCCTTCCAACAAGCTGGTGTACAGTGGGTGGACAGTTATTTTTGGCTGCCTGTTTTGGATTCTACAGCTTTAAAGCACAAACTTTGAGTCACAAGACTTGGTGAAGTGGTGCAGAATAGGTCCCAGAAAATGAATATGAAAAAATAAAAACAAAAAAACAAAGTTTTAAATTTGGAAAAA